CCCCAAAACCCCAAAACCCCAAAACCCCAAAACCCCAAAACCCCAAAACCCCAGACTTGTGAAGTTATATTGAAATAAATTTGAGTATGCGTTTATCTAAGTTTGATAATTATACAGCTCATGTTGTCGCATCCAAGACCCTGTGTTGCAGTATAGTCAGGCGATATTATGTCCTCGAAAAGTTCCCCAATAATATCTGTTAATTTCATGTCTTTTTTGAGGCGCTCCGATATGAAGTCAACGACATCTTGCGACGACTTGACTTCCCAAATGCCATCTCAGGCCATGACAATGAAGTCGTCTCCGGGCTTGATCTTGTCCACAGCGATGTCTGGAACACAAGTAATGGGTTGTTCCTCTGGTGTCAAGCCTGGCTTCTGCTTGTGTTTGAGGTCGCCAAGTGACCTCGACAAGTTCAAGTTGCCGTCGACTCTGCCATCAACGATTTCGGAGCCGGCCTTTCTGATTCTCTCCCTTTCGATCTCGTTTTCGGGCTTATGGTCCTCTGACAAATTGACTGCTTTACCCTCCCTGGACAATACGCATCTGGAATCGCCTGCGTTTGCGCAGTAAATGGCGGAGCCTTTGATCAAAACGACGTTGGCAGTGCACCCTTTGGAGTCGAGCATGTAACTTTCTTCGTCTCTTTCGCCTGCTGGCTTATCTTTGGCTTCTTCTCCGAGGATTTTCAACAATGGATTTTTAGCTTCTGGGTTACTATCAGCGACTGCCTTCATTTGCTGCTTTCCAGTTTTGCTTCCTAAAAATACATCGGTTTCTTTGAAACTGTCGTAGAGGCCTTTTTGGTAGTCCCCATCTTTGTAGTTTGAGTCTTCTTTAAGAATTCTCTCGTAGTTGTCTTTGACAACCTGTGAGGCTTCTTTGCCTCCATGGCCGTCAAATACCCCAAAGAGGGATGTATCCTCGTCAAAGTCGAGGTTGGCAATAACGGCATCCTCCATACCGAGCCTCCAGCCTTGCATTTCTCAGGCTCCATATGAGAAGTTGTCATTTTGGCCGTGCTGGACATGTTTTTCTTTGTTCGGCGATTCGAGATAGACCAGTGAGGCTCCCATATCTGTATCGGTTAATTATTATTATTTCAATAATTCCAAATCTATTTGGGGTTTTGGGGTTTTGGGGTTTTGGGGTTTTGGGG